TAACCTCTACCTATATCTGAGCACTAACCGTCCAAGGCTTTAATACCCTGGAAAAATGTAGGATATTAACTGACCTCCATAAGCATAAAGCCCGCCTAGCCTTTCCCCAATGGCAAAATCGGTTCATTCCTGCTCCACAGATAGGAATTTCCAGGGGGGGGGGGGGGGGGGGGGGGTTGGGGGTTGGTAGCTTACATCTCATGCACAATTCAATGGACTAACTTGGCTGAGCACAAAGACAATGAGGGCTGCTATCTTTTCATAAAAGGCTCCGTTCAAACAAAAAAATAAATTGCTACAGTCTATATGCCAAATTATAATCAAATTCCATTTCTTTGGAATTTGATTATTGGAAGCCATAGCAGCCATTTCAGAGGGGATTGCGATTCTGGGCAGGTACTTTAACTTGGTGTTGGATCCACATATCGATGCCACGGGTTGAACCTCCCACATATCTTCAATGGCCACCATGTAAATGTATTAAAAAGTTTTCACCAATTTATAGACATCTGGTAAATCCATCACCCCACTGTCAAAGCCTACACCCTATCACTCCCCAGTACGTCTCATTCCTGTATTGATATGAACCTGAATAAACATTGTTATCTGCGACTCGCCTCTAATTCAGACATTAGAAACATAGACCCCACATTTGAGATGAACCTCTAGAGGGAACTGGAGATGTATTTCTTCACTGATGTCACCCCTAACATACCCTCCTTCATATAAGGGGCCCACAAACTTTACTTGGGAGGCATACTAAACAAACATCACCACCTCAAAAAACAATGGGGACAGAGCATTACTGAACTGCTAACACAGATGAACCATCTAGAGACTTAAAAAAAAAAAATCAAACTGCAGACACTTGCACAAAATTGCCCAGCTGCAGACTTCAACCTAAACTTTCTTGAGAGTGCTAAGGCAATCCTAAGTGTTGATGTAACTTCTACAAGGAAATCAGTGTTGTAGGTCCCTGGACAACATCTTCCACCAGCAGAGAACAAAAACGTTTGTTAGCACTATTCACTCTAACAACTCCAAAACCTAAATCCCGCAGGAGATTACAACCTCATTAATGGAATTGTACACACACTAAACTCTACAATCTCCACCTTGACTGACCACACTCCCTCACCAGGTGGTGCAGTCAGAGGCTACCTTATGAGATCAGACTTAATGTCCCTGGATACACAGAGCTCATACAACTGCTGGAGAAACGTATTGATCCATCAGAATTTATCTTAGCCATTAAAGATGATCTCCATGTTTTCGTGAACTTTAGTTTTCTTGGACCAAGCTGGTACAAATTAACTATTTACTTCACTAACAGATGTAGCATCTGTGTGTGCCCGATAAACCTTTTGTAGACTCAGCTACATACAGTATACAGCACTGTGTTCCAGTGGAACTTCCTGTCCCGCTCCTAGAACAAAATCAAGTCAGAACGAGCATTGCTCAGCCATTCACAAAAAGATTTGTACTCAGCCAATCAGACTAGGCTTTGAATTCATTTATTAAGGTGGAGATCATGTCATCTGCTTGTCCCTCTGCCTCAGCCAGTCAGAGGAAGCCCTGTACTCAATCATAGAATACAAAGCAGTGCAGTGTTCAGTCTGACAGATATTGCTTAGGGAGCGGGAAAGAAGTCTCCAATCTCGCTACCAGAACACAGTGCTGTTTACTCTATGTAGCTGATAGTATAGACAGTTTATACAGCGTACACAGCTGATGAATCTGTTAGTGAAGTAAATAGTTTGTTTCGACCAGCTTGGTCCTGACAAACTATTTAATATTCATTGAAACATGAAGATCAACTTTAAGTTCACAAAGATCAGCAAGACCCTCGGGCCAGTTGGGCTCTCCTTAACTTTTTACAAAGTTGTTCCAATCCCTCCTATCCCTGATCTCTATATTTGGTTATGATTAAGCACGAGATCGTGTGAAACGCGTTGACAGGTCCTGTATTCATGTTCTGGTGTTTTGTGTGTCCTATGGATCAATAAATACACACTATATTCATCTATCCTCCGGTGTGCTGACCCTTCTTCCTATTGATCTCTATATCAGCTTTTATCTCACTCCAACACCAGTCCTGCACCCAACGGCTCTTGCAGCACATATCTTGGTCATCACTAAAGTGTGGAAGGACCCACAACATTGCCTTAAGTATAACCCAATCTCACTCCTCAACATGGATCTAAACCTCCAAGACAAAGCACTTCACTAGGGAAACACATTGTGCAAGCCATTTTCTCAAACATTTATCCTGGTTGTCATCTCAGTTATCACATGATCTTCACCTCTCAGATGTTTACATATTTTGCAGGTTACCCACTTTATCAATCTTTACTAGTGGCAACATTGTTTTCACACGGTCTCACCCAATTTGACAGTGAATGTCAGGCAAGAAGAGCATGCACTCTTCTACAAGTAGGTTTTATGGAGATTTAACAAACCCCATCTTTCTTCCTGGGAGAAGGACCTCCATATCACCCTCTCACTCAAGAATAAAAATGAAAACATTAACTCAGTCTTTTAAATTTTCCATGAGTAACAAATACTGAAAACCAGGCTACAAAATAGTTTCCTGCTGGTACTCCATCCTGAAAACTCTCCACACTACCTATTAGTGGTGCACCAAAATTAAAAATCTGGACTGAAACCGAAAATTCAGGATGCACTTGGTCAAAAACCTAAACCAAAATGGACAGTTTAAAAGAAATATATATCTCTATCTATCTCCAGTAATGTAAAAAAAGGATGAGTTCACCTTTTGACAAACAATAATACATGCATTATGTTTGCAGGGAAAAAAAAAAGTGCATTTATTATTTTTTGTTGCATGAGCCTGGAAAGCATTGCATCATTGGTGCCATGCAGGACTCCTGAAGACCTGTCATTGTATCTGCTTGCCTGTACATCCCGTACAAACAAGCCAATACACACTGACAGGAAGAATCACAGTTCATTGAGAACCACAAAGGTTGTTGGGACTTATATTTTTCCATTTCACAGAATATTGTGAATAAGTGATGCGGCTGGGTGGGCAGAGCCATGCACAGACACGTCTTTTACAAATTTGACAGCTAACGGGAGGAGCTGTCAAAGTGGGGGAGCGGGGAGAAAGAGGGGCCAGTCCTTCCATAACATGTTACACCCTGAATATGGGTTTAACATGTTATGAAGGGTGAACTTAACCAAAATATTGGCATTATTGACACTTTTTTTTGTTATTGGCAAAACGCCGATAACCCTATTTTTGCCCGATATATCTGTGCATCACTACTGTCTCTCACACCTTTCCAGAGAGATGAGGGCAGGCGACAGATGACATGCTACATATTTTCTGGTCCTGTACAGCCTTACAGGAAGCCTAGTGACAAGTTCAAGACATAGTTCAAGAAATTACTGACTAGAAGGTATCGAAAGTGCTAGTGTTCTCTCCTTCACTATAACTCAGTGGCCATGAGAGATTACAAGAACTCCACGGTCAGACAATTAGTAACTGTGGCTCACTCGTGTATTCCATTTTAGTGAAAATCCTCTTCACCTTCAACTTTACAGCAATGGATCTGATGAGTAAAAGGACACTGGACTCAGAAAAAGCCCAAATAGCTCAGCTAAAATTTTGTCCTGCTTGTGTGACACGGAGCCCCCAATCCCTGGAATGTTCCATGTCCCGTGCCCTGCTCTCAATTTATTTTCTCACCTTCTATTCAAAGTGTAACAACTTTCCCCCTCCCATTCCTTGTACCCGGCATGATCTTCCTACCCCTTTTTTTTTTCCTCTACCATTATTCCATCTGGTTTTTCATAGGGCACTAAATTCAGGCACACATAAATATAAACCATCAACCACTTGCATCTGGATATAGTGACTCACTCTAGGCCTATTACTTTGGAAGGCCTTGAGACCTCTCCTCTGCTAGATATGTGACCTCCAAAAATATCCTGTTCTCGGGTTCTCGTATTTCCACCACAGAATGTGAATTTTTTTTCATGTGAATGGACTATATACTGTTATTACTACTGGGTGTGATGACCAAGGAGCCCTACACTGTTCTCTTCAATTTTTTTTCTCCTTACTTTTGAATATGATAAAAACCATAAATAAAGAATGCATAAAACAGTAGATTTACTATAAAAAAGGAAAGCCGCTCCATGGCTGACCAATATTGATACATTTGAGAAAAGTGGAAAGACAGACCTGGGCCCACAGGTACATTCCACTGGTATTGTTATCATAAGGTATTATTGTGTAAATTATCTGGTTTCTGGGTGTTTGTTTTTTTTTAGCCCTTATGAAGGGGGCACTTGGACCCCCGAAATGCATTGGCTACTTCTCAAATTATACTTGACCTTTAATGGAATAAAGTTGTATCTGGACCTCTTAACAGTGGTGTTGTGCTTCAACTTTTCTTACAACACTGATACATAGTAGTATCAATGCCATAACGATTCACCCAAACAGTGGTGGAAGACAGACATAACCAGCACACAATACCTTTAGAAGCTGTTCTTTTATTTCTTTCCATTAAGCATACTTATATATGCTATACATGGTTCGGCTTGTATTGGGGGCTCTTACTTATATGTACACTTTCAGGGATCCAGGTCATCGTTATGAAAAAAAACATGTAAGCATTCCTAAGTTTTCACCATGAGCTGAAAAGGCCATGAGAATTTAAAAAAAAAAACAAAAACAAAAAAAAGAAAAAAGCGAGAACTGCAACCACACGTGCCTACCACAAGTATTTCATGGGCAGGGCAAAGCAAAAAGGAGTGGACTGCAGGATGGAAATAATTTACAAAAGCAAACAGCTATAAATCCCACTGCAAACTAAGAATGGCTGGAACTAGAAATATATTTAAGTTGTGTATTATACAAGCACTACATCATATGTACACAGCAAAGTTCACAGACGTGTGGAGAGTGCAGTAAAATGTCCCAAAAAAATTGAAGCATGAAGAAAGATTTTGTAACAGTAGCAGGCATGTTACTGAGCCATCTGAGCCTCCATGGCCTGTGCTGTCCATTCTGGTGCAGTCTGACTGATCTTTTCCAGGAGGTTGTTGACTTGGAAGCACAAAGACTGAATCTGTTTATCCCATGTAGGCAAAGCTTCCCGAGCTGAAGAAAAGAGTTTGAAAAGGTCTTCTTTTACAAACTGGTCTCACTTTAACATATCATGTAATTTACTTTAAAACATACCCATAAACATGGGTTCATGGACACTCATCTGTTTTACTTAACACACAGGTACACTTGTCCTTCCTTTGGTTATTAAAGCACCACTAGTTCATACATGCATTCCCAAAAGAGAACAATGGGGAGTCCACAAAACATTCCTAAACCACCCACTTGCTCATCTTTACTTAAATTTTGGTGTCTGAAATGGAATATGTGGACAATTTATTGTGTCAAAATAAAAAAAACCTAATTTAATGTACAGTATAAATGTTCTTAAAACTTCATTAAACCCTTAAAAGCAGTCAGGAGAGCCTATAAATCTGAAAGCTGACTATCAACTTTCAGATGGTATTGATTCAGCGGCTGCACAGCCACCCAGATTGCTTCTACAGAACTTTGGTATGTTAACTCAACAGACCCCTAGGGGTTTATTTACTAAAGCTGGAGAGTCCAAAATCAGACTCCCTTCTGCATAGAAACCAATCAGCTTCTAACCTCAGCTTGTTCAATGAAGCTTTGGCAATGAAACCTGGAAGCTGACTGGTTTCTATGCAGAAGTGAGTCTGATTTTGGACTCTCCAGCTTTAGTAAATAAACCCCCTAATGTCTAATTAAAGAAAAAAAAAAATGTATCATATAGGGGGCTATTGGTCACCCATCTGATAACTTTATTGCGAGCGGCTGAAAGAAAAAAAAATGTGTAAAAAATTAAAAAAGTTACACCCAAGCACTCCAAAAAATGTTGAAACTGCTCTGCTGTTATACATTAGTATGTAAATGCACACGTCTGGGGGTGCCTATGTACAAAAACATTGATTGTGCTACACATTGCATATACAGTGAAGGAAATAAGTATTTGATCCCCTGCTAATTTTGAATGTTTGCCCACTCACAAAGAAATGGTCAGTCTAAAAATCGAATGGTAGGTGTCTTGTAACACAGAGAAACAATAGCAACAAAAAATTAAAAAGAAATGCATGTCTAACAAATTATGCACTGATTTGCATGTTCATGAGGGAAATGAGTATTTGATCCCCTATCATTCAGCAGGATTTCTGGCTACCAGGTGTCTTTCATACAGGTAACAAGCTGAGATTAGAAGCAGTCTCTTAAAGGGAGTGCTGCTAATCTCATTTTGTTACCTGTATAAAAGACACCTGTCCACAGGAGCAATCAAACAATCAGATTCCAAACTCTCCACCATGGCAAGGACCAAGACCAAAGAGCTGTCCAAGGATGTCAGGGACAAGACTGTAGACCTACACAAGGCTGGACAAAAGGAGTGGCTCAAGAAGAAGCACATTAAGGTCCTGGAGTGGCCTAGCTGGTCTCCAGACCTTAATCCGATTGAAAATCTGTGGAGGGAGCTGAAATTTGGAGTTGCCAAACGTCAGCCACCAAACCTTAATGAGTTGGAGAGGATCTGCCAAGAGGAGTGGGCCAAAATCCCTCCTGAGATGTGTGTAAACCAGGTGGCCAACTACAGGAAACGTCTGACCTCTGTGACTGCCGACAAGGGATTTGCCACCAAGTACTAAGTCATGTTTTGTGAAGGGGATCAAATACTTATTTCCCTCATGAACATGCAAATCAGTGCATACTTTGTTAGACATGCATTTCTTTTGAATTTTGTCTCTCAGTGTTACAATACACCTACCATTCAATTTTTAGACGGATTTCTTTGCGAGTAGGCGAACATTCAAAATCAGCAGGGGATCAAATATTTATTTCCTTCACTGTAATCACGCACGCAGGTGTGTGGGCTATAATTCGAGGGCCATTATTCACGGTTGACTTTAAACTGATGACCTGTAGGGGCTTTTAAAGCACCATCTATGGAAAACGTTGGGTACCGAATTTTGTCATTTTACAGGCGCACGCAATTTTAAGGCTTGACATGCTGGGTATCCATTTACATCTAATCTTTTATCTCTTACCAAAAATGTGCAATATGGTGCATTTGTGTGCACTAAAATGAACATGAAATTTTTTTAACTAAAAATCTGATATCTTGTTGATAAACCGTTGTGTTAATATTGTGCTGAGTTGGAAAATTGGACCTATCACCATTTTACTCTCCAGAATCACAGCTTTCAGAAAAAATACTGTTTTGGGGTTTTAACTAATCTTCAAGCCTAGAATGTTTTAAAGTGTGTAAAAAATATAAACAGTTCTGACAGTGAAATGGTTAAAGCAAACCTGTAGCTATGGACATTCAATTTTTTACATATGCTTAGGCAATAAATACACACGTTCACTCAAAGTTCACAGCAGCAGCACTAAAATTCTTTTAGCAACCCAGCCCCCGTTACAGAGCACCCACTCTGTGTTTACATTATAAATCGGCTTCCAGATCACTGCTGGGAGAGAGGAGCACAGCTGCTGAAAAAGACTTCACTGCTTCTAATGTGAAATTTGAAGATGAACTGCTCTATGGTGCCTGCAGCTACAGAGGTCAGTGATACGAAAGACATTTGTAAACTTACCAGATTAATCCATTTTCACAAAATTTGAGAGCATAACCCCACAACTCCTGGGGTACAAGCAGTGCTAAAAAGCTGATGAGGGGCCAAGTGTCTTTAGAGGATCTCCATTTTGGGAACCACTTCTGAAACAACCATCAACTGCTTAATGTATCCCTGTCTGGGGGTTAATAAAATTAGTTCAGCAATAGTCTGTGAGAGAAGCGTTATACTTAGCTGCCCAGTGGATAATTTACTTGCAGAGTTCAGTCCACTATTGCTATATCACACTGTGGTGATGGATGGTGTGATATTGCAAGTCTGCTTCTGGCCACTCTCATCCTGCTGCTGACTCCATCACTACTGCATTCTGCAGTGATGTATAGAATTAAGAGAGGAACCTCAGAAGCCAGCAGAGAATATACTATTAGACATACCGGAGATTTCGGATAGTACTGATGCTGGGTGATTTTCATATGAGCAGAGTTTCAGCACTCCGTCCAGGTAAGTATAAACTTTCTTTCACAGGCTAATGCTGGTTCAATTTTTTCCATCCCCTAACACAGTCGCTCTAAGGGCAAGTGTCAGCACTGCAGGAAACCTACATGCTCAAAGCCATGTAGCATAGGATTCTAGCCTAGGCTGTAGAAGGTGGAATGGGATATTAACCAACAGAAAATCAGACAGATCAGCTGCAGGCATTTGCTGATCCCTCTCCTTTGCCAAGATCTATATATGCTCAAGAACACCAAAGTCATGCAATAATCTGAAAAAACACTGCCAGACACTCCTACCCCTTAATGCACTTAGCAAAGATTACAGAACAAATATCACTCTTTGTAATGTTTTTTAAACCTGTAGTAATAAACATCTATCATAATTATTTAACTCACTTTCAAAATGGACAATGCCATCGATTTGGTCAATGAAGCCATTCATACGGCCCTCTGTAATCATCTGAGAAGCTATCTTCTCAGCCTGTACATGAAAAAAAGAAATAAAGAGAGAAATATATTTACATGTCACATCATGGAATGTTAAATCCAGAAGAAAAAAAAAAAACCCTGAAAACAAAGAAAGAGGATTAACTGGTACCTTGGCAGCAGGGATTTCTAGCAAAGCTCCGAGTTCCTCAAAAGTGATATTGTTGTAAAGTTTGCTAGCTGACAACAGGTTGTGCTCTATCACAGCTCTGTCCAAAATACTGGAACCTGAAAAGAATATTATATCCTAATTATAGAATAAAATGAATCTCATTAGCCCTTAGTTGTGGTGACTTTTTATTTTCAGGCTTTTATCCCCCTTTATTTTCACCTGGTGATCCTGCAAGGAACACACGTCCTGTCCTAAGGTTACAAAATGAATTTGATCTTCCTTTACCGACAAGGTCAGCACCATCTATATTCAATCATTCAGGATCACAATCTGCTTCCTGGATTAACCCATGCATGATACAAGTATATAAATTCTGGTGCTTAGCCGTGTTATTGCTCACTCAGGCCAGTTACTCTTCATTCTATGACAAGAGAGCATAAATTGCTACTCTAGTTTTACAAAGATCCACTATCCTGTTACACCTTGTCCTGTAACATCCACTACACAGAGCACACTGGACACTGTCAGCATAAATTTAGGACACATTCCCCATAAACACGTCTCTCAGGCAGCCCTTGAAAGATTGTCCCTAGAAATTCTCACTTGACTGAATGAAGCTAAAAGGACTGCTTTGGTTAATAAAAATAAAGGTTTTTTAACATGATATTGTTGCTGAATATTGTGACGCGCAAGCATGTAATGTTATTTTTAGGTCAGTTTTTGCAGGAGTAGATTTCTGGAAATACCTAAGGCACCACATGTTCAGTTCTGATGTTAATTAGCTGTAACTCTAAACAAGCTTTAAAAGTAGACCCTTCAGTAACTTTACAAGTTTCTATGAATTACTGACATGTCACAATATACAGACACCTTATTGTTTTTTTCAAAAAGCTTCACTTTTATAATTAAAAAAACTCATGATTCAAATGGTGCTGCCTAGGGCTTATCTCTGTTGGGAGTTCATAAACATATCCAAGAACTGCAAAGGCACCAGAATTTGATTGTCTTAGTCCATAAATGTATACAGTGAAGGAAATAAGTATTTGATCCCCTGCTGATTTTGAATGTTTGCCCACTCACAAAGAAATGATCAGTCTAAAAATCGAGTGGTAGGTGTATTGTAACACAGAGAGACAGGATAGCAACAAAAAATTCAAAACAAATGCATGTCTAACAAATGATGCACCGATTTGCATGTTCATGAGGGAAATAAGTATTTGATCTCCTTCACAAAACATAACTTAGTACTTGGTGGTAAATCCCTTGTTGGCAGTCACAGAGGTCAGACGTTTCCTGTAGTTGGCCACCAGGTTTGCACACATCTCAGGAGGGATTTTGGCCCACTCCTCTTGGCAGATCCTCTCCAAGTCATTAAGGTTTGGTGGCTGACATTTGGCAACTTGAACTTTCAGCTCCCTCCACAGATTTTCAATTGGATTAAGGTCTGGAGACTGGCTAGGCCACTCCAGGACCTTAAAGTGCTTCTTCTTGAGCCACTCCTTTGCTGCCTTGGCCGTGTGTTTTGGGTCATTGTCATGCTGGAACACCCATCCACGACCCATTTTCAATGCCCTGGCTGAGGGAAGAAGGTTCTCACCCAAGATTTGACAGTGCATTGCCCTGTCCATCGTCCCTTTGATGCGGTGCAGTTGTCCTGTCCCCTTAGCAGAAAAACACCCCCAAAGCAGAATGTTTCCACCACGTTTGACAGTTGAGATGGTGTTCTTGGGGTCATAGGCAGCATTCCTCCTCCTCCAAACACGGCGAGTTGAGTTGATGCCAAAGAGCTCGATTTTGGTCTCATCTGACCACAACACTTTCAACCAGTCCCCCTCTGCATCATTCAGATGCTCAGTGGTAAACTTCAGACGGGCCTGGACATGTGCTTTCTTGAACAGAGGGATCTTGCGGCCACTGCAGGATTTCAATCCTTGTTGGCGTAGTGTGTTATCTATTGTTTTCTTGGTGACTTTGGTCCCAGCTGCCTGGAGATCATTGACAAGATCCTCACGTGTAGTTCTGGGATGATTTCTCACTGTTCACATGATCATTGACACTCCACGAGGTGAGATCTTGCATCGTGCACCAGACCTAGGGAGACTGACAGTTGTTTTGTGTTTCTTCCGAATGATTGCACCAACTGTTGTCACCTTCTCACAAAGCTGCTTGGTGATATTTTGGTAGCCCAGTCCAGCCTTGTGTAGGTCGACAATCTTGTCCCTGACATCCTTGGACAGCTCTTTGGCCTTTGCCATGGTGGAGAGTTTGGAATCTGATTGTTTCATTGCTCCTGTGGACAAGTGTCTTTTATAAAGGTAACAAAATGAGATTAGCAGCACTCCCTTTAATAGACTGCTTCTAATCTCAGCTTGTTACCTGTATGAAAGACACCTGGTAGCCAGAAATCCTGCTGAATGATAGGGCATCAAATACTTATTTCCCTCATGAACATGCAAATCAGTGCATAATTTGTTAGGCATGCATTTCTTTTGAATTTTTTGTTGCTATTCTGTCTCTCAGTGTTACAATACACCTACCATTCGATTTTTAGACCGATCATTTCTTTGTGAGTGGGCAAACATTCAAAATCAGCAAGGGATCAAATACTTAATTTCCTTCACTGTATTCTGTCCCTCGATGATGCCTGAACAAAGACTGGCATAGGGAGCACTGTGGTCTCTGAGGGAAATAATAAACACCTGTAAGTGTAACATGCATGCAATTAACATGAAGAAATATATCTGGTGCAAGGTCCCCCCCTGTAAGTCGATAATGATCGCACTGTAATTGGCTAGGAGGAGGGAAAAAAAAAACTTTCACTATAGGCCTACCATCTCCAGTAGTTGCCTTCTGATGAGGCATGAGCATAGCAGCAAACTCCTGCAGCTGGTTTCCTCTGATGATTCTGTCTAGGTACATCTTTTCCAGAATACCATAAGCTGAAAGCTGCTGGCACCGTTCATCTTTAAATAGTGTAGCCAACATACGGGAACGTTGTTGTCCTACATATATACAAAAAAAAAAAAAAGACACAGTGAGCTGTAAGTATATAAGCTACAAATACTCATATTGTACATATCTGGTGGACAAGATATATACTTTTAACCACTTCCCGCCTGGCCTATAGCCAGATGGCGGCCAGGCGAGCAGCTTGTCCCTCCGGGTGGACGCTGTATGGTGTCCTTTCAGGCATGCCCAGTTTGCGACCCGCAGAGCCACGCACAGGCGCGATCTGTCACTGGCCGTGTACCTTGGACACGGCCAATGACAGATCTGTGTACCGGCCCCGTTGCCAGTACCATGTGACCTGCTGTGACCAATCACAGCAGGTCACATGACAGTTGTATACAATGGATGGCTTCCTTTCATGCCATCCATTGTATACAAGTGTGGCTAGCTGTGAATGGTCACAGTGATCATATGAATCGATTTCATTCAGGTAAATGCTTGCTTAGAGCAAAGTAATTCTTTGCTATAAGCAAATTGTGTAAAAAAAAAAAAAAAATTCTGATCACTTCCTTAAAGTAGTACAATGTTACTATGGTAACATTATACTACTTTGGTCACAGTGAAATATGAAGAAAAAAAAATCTTAAAAAAAAAAAAATTAAATATTTTTTTTAAAATTATCAAAAAAATGTTTTTTCATACTGTCACCAGTCAGTGTCCCTGATCACCACCATGCCAGTTACAGTTGTGACCAAAATTATTCAACCCCCCAATGCTGTAAAGGGGTTTAGGGACTATAGTGTACATTTGGAATTGTATTCAGAATCAAATCCTACAAGGACGTTGTAACTACCCAAATGCAACTAAAATGACATCAATTGTTTATGTAATACAGTAGTAAATGGTTCTTATGTGGTTTCTTCATTGCCACAATTATTCAACCCCTTAAAGACTACCACTCTGAAGAACAGAGGTTCATACAGGTGCTTTCCATCAGGTATTGAAAAACACCTGTGGATGTCACCGAGCAGCAATCAAGCATAATAAGCACCAATTAGGCAGCTTTAAAATGACTGTGATACTCAGCTCCTTCTAGACATTTACTGGTGTGGTTACAAACATGGTGAAGGCAAGAGAATGGTCCAGGAAGACAAGAGAAGAGGTGATTTCTCTTCACAGGAAAGGGCAATGGCTATAAGAAGATTGCAAAGATGTTAAACATACCAAGAGACACCTTAGGAAGCATCATTCGCAAATTCAAGGCAAAGGGCACTGTTGAAACGCTACCTGGTCGTGGCAGAAAGAAGATGCTGACTTCGACTGCTGTGCGCTACCTGAAGCGTAGAGTGGAGAGAAGTCCCCGTGTGACTGCTGAGGAACTGAGAAAAGATTTGTCAGATGTGGGTACAGAAGTTTCAGCCCAGACAATAAGACGCACACTGCGTAATGAAGGCCTCCGTGCCAGAACTCCCAGGCGTACCCCCCTTGCTGTCTCCAAAGAATAAGAAGAGTCGACTGCAGTATGCCAAAAGCCATGTGGACAAACCACAAAAGTTGTGGGATAGTGTTCTGTGGACTGATGAAACAAAATTAGAACTGTTTGGGCCCATGGATCAACGCTATGTTTGGAGGAGGAAGAACAAGGCCTATGATGAAAAGAACACCTTGCCTACTGTGAAGCATGGTGGAGGGTCAATCATGCTTTGGGGCTGTTTTGCTTCTGCAGGTACAGGGAAGCTTCAGCGTGTGCAAGGTACCATGAATTCTCTTCAGTACCAGGAGATATTGGATGGAAACGTGATGCAGTCCGTCACACACCTGAGGCTTGGGAGACGTTGGACCTTTCAACAGGACAATGATCCCAAGCATACCTCCAAGTCCACTAGAGCATGGTTGCAGAGGAAAGGCTGGAACATTTTGGAGTGGCCATCGCAGTCACCAGACTTAAATCCGATTGAGAACCTCTGGTGGTGGACTTAAAGAAAGCAGTTGCAGTGCGCAAGCCTAAGAATGTGACTGAACTGGAGGCCTTTGCCCATGAAGAATGGGCGAAGATACCCGTAGATCGCTGCAAGACACTTGTGTCAAGCTATGCTTCACGTTTAAAAGCTGTTATAACTGTAAAAGGATGCTGTACTAAGTACTAAGATTGAATGTCACTTGGGGGTTGAATAAAACTGATAATGCTGTGAGCACAGAAAAAAGACATTTGTGGTTATTTCATTATAACTGTTATGTTATATTTGTCTGACCTACAAGTGCCTCTTTAATGTAAATGTAAGCAAGATGACTGAATGATCAAAAGCAATGTCAAACTAGCCAAAACACTCAATTTCAGTGGGGGTTGAATAATTTTGGTCACAACTGTATATGATGACGCTGTACTGCACTGGTGACTGTATGTAAAAAAAAAAAAAAGTGAAAATCATTTTTTTTTATTTCTTCATTTCCGAAAAATTATAACAAAAAATTACAACTTCAAAAAACTCGCCATGCCTCTTATGAAGTACGTCAGACTGTCTACTTTGCAAAAAGGGGTCATTTGGGGGATATCTGTACTGTTCTGACATTCTTGGACCTCAAGAAATTAGACTGGCTGTCAGTACTTCAGGATTGATCAATAGATATGCCATAGTTTGTGAACTCTATCACTTTGCTACAAACTAAATAATACATCCTAAATTTGGGTTATTTTCACCAAAGACGTAGCAGAATACATCTCGGCCTAAATTTATGAAGAACAATTATTTATTTGCAAACTTTTATAACAGAAACAAAGAAAAACGTTTTTTTTTTTTCAAACTTTTTGGTCTTTTTTTGTTAATTTAGCAAAAAATAAAACCCCCAGTGGTGATTAAATACCACCAAAAGAAAGCTCTAGTTGTGTGAAGAAAAGGATAAAATTTTAGTTTGTGTACAATGTTGTATGACCGCGTAATTGTCATTCAAAGTGTGAGAGCGCTGAAACCTTAATATTGGCCTGGGCAGGAAGGGGGTAAAAGTGCCCGGTATGGAAATGGTTAAAATAACAGATTTATGTTAGGAAAACAGACAAGCTCATCTTTTAGTATATGTGAATGATATTACAACATACCTGCAGATGCCAAGATGGTGCAGTGAAGTGCATGTTTAAGTGCTTCCATTCTCTCAGATTCATGTACTATAGTTTTGTATGAAAGCTCATTGTACCTCTGAGCAGCTTCAATAAACTTCCGTCTGTAGTCTAAAACACGTGCATAGCAAACCTGGAAAGGACAGATTCAATATTCAGCTTTAAGCTCAAAAATCTGTTTTAACATAGTCCCATCACCAGATTAAGAGACAATGTACGTCTTCAAAATGAGCATTTACCATCCACATCTCTATCTGTATTTAAAATGGGTATAGTCCACTTACTGTGATTCTGTAATTAAATATAGTACTAATACAGGCCATACATGGTTCGAATTCCGAACGATTTTTCGTCCAAAAATCTAAAACGTCATTCGCTCGGTAATCTGATGGTGCCATCAATGATTTCGAAAATCGGCCGACCAAGTCATAAAGTTCACCCCGTACAACAGGCGCAACTTATGTCCCTTCCAGGTCACGGCTCATGCACATCTTCTTTTCTGAAAAATGATCGTACGATTTGACCATCGAGTTGAAAATCGGTAGTTTTTCGCGAATTTTCCAACATGCCCAATCACCGAAAAGGGGAGGAACCACGAAAATCGCCCCGGTGCCATTGACCTACTAACAGAGCGAAAATCGGCCAATTCTTAGGTCTGATTTTCTGATGAAAAAAAAATCGGTCGAATTTCGACCCATGTATGGCCAGCCTAATACTCCGCTCTAACAAGCCTGTGTTCTAAATTACATATAACCTCTGTATTTTTTATCTTTATAATGTTATAAAGTGTTAATAAACCCACAACAGTAAAATCAGTCTGTATATGCAGTAAAGCATGTTTGTTATACTCACTGTGGGAGTGTAACAAATTAGTAGTGGAGAAATGTGTCAACCAGAGCTAGTAATGTCAGTATGCACCAAGATGAAATCGTGTATTTGCCATAAGGAGATCTGTAAAGCAAGTGAGACATGTGCATACACTAATCCTGGAATAACAAATGATGTGAGTGTCTATTGTTTGTTTGTTCAAATAAACTGGTAAAGGATTTTTATACTGTGTGGGTTCTCCTTTTTCGCCTTGTTTTTTTTGTGGTATGTAGCACTAGATAACGTGAAGGTGAAAAAAAAAAATGGGTGTATTGTCAGAGACCTCGAAACAGAGATTTACACAGGGTGCAACGTGCCATGCAAGTTGCAAATCGCATGGCAAGTCGCACCCTATTGTCCACAATTAAAGCGGTCATATCAGTGGGAGTCTGACTTAGTCTCTATAGTTTCTAATGTAGAGCATGCACTACTTCAGGAGTTGCATAAATATCTGTTTTGCAAGCCACAGATTATTATTATTATACAGGATTTATATAGCGCCAGTTTGCTCAGCGCTTTACAATATAACGGGAGACAATACAGCAACAATACAGTTCAATACAAGAGGGAAAGGAGGGCCCTGTTCCTTGGAGCTTACAATCTAGATGTCTTGCAAGTCACACATTAAGTTGAAATACCATCCCACTTTGAAATCGTGCGACTTCACTGGAATCAGTGTGACCAGGGTGTTAATAAACAAACATTTATTGAGCTATCCTTGCAAACAGGTCAGTTTGGAACTGGCGAGTGAGCTTTGCAGAGGTGATTGGCACAAGACAATTTTTGATTGATCTTGGCACTCTTACATGTGAATCACTTGTATAGTAACAAGAAGAGTTATATGGATATTCAAGAATGAAAAATACCTGTATGAAAAATTGGACTGAGAGACTGTTTTTCCTATGAATTATTGTTCTATTTTTAAATAGAGAAAATTTTAGTATTTCACACAAGTGTGTGTGTGTTTTGTGATAGGATTAATTAGACACGATTTGATTTTAGGCGTTTCGTATTTTCCACTGCATTGCAGTTAGGGAGGCATTGGGCATGTTAGAGCTTTAGGATTCTGTAATGATTTCTGTATATTTGGTCAATTAAAACCCCCCATCCTTTTAAGAGGTTCTAAATGCCTGGAGGTGGGGCATTTTGATTGCGTGACCGCAGTGACTGCCTGTCACATTACTGGAAACTATTGGTCGCAACTATGCATTGCTAGTTGCCCATGACAGCTCGGTTACTGTGTTGAGAGCGTGCAGTGAGTGTACGCTCTGCACAGAAATGCGGCTCCCCAGAGACGTATATGTGCAGCTGCTCTGCATTAAAGCCTACCCACCCAGTCATTGCATATATGAGCACGGCCAGCGGGAACAGGTTAAGAAACTGCATTTTAAGATTTCTCATCACAGATGTCTTTTCTCAACAAAAGTGGAGTTACTCTTTAAAACAAACCATCCTAGACCCCTGCTGCTTGTAATGTGCAGTAATGCATCCTCAAAGATCCCAACAAAGACTCTCAAGTCAAATTACTGTTTTTTAGCAGATAAACATTCCACGTGTCATCTAAAATGTATTTTCCTCACAACGAAACATACTGTAGGTGAATGAGTGCTGATGTAGAGTGTTTTTACTGCTTGTTTAGAATATGGAAATACTTTATTGTGCATAGCCACAGGTTCAACAGGTGGAGTTATCTGTGGTGCAGAAAAATGCAGACATGCAAATGTGCAATGCAAAGCAGAGACATGAATAAAGTGTTTATTTGTAGACTTTCAAAGTGAAAAACCCGCAACCTGCTTGCCAAAACTGAGCATCTTAACCTGCAGGTAAGTGAATGGGCCCTAAAAGAGTCACACTGTTAATACAGGTAATCTATCAGACGGTAAATAGACAACTAATTATGTGAACAGCACATGGTAATCTCTCCACTGTGATGACCAATTTTACATTACTCACGGCTATAAGCTACTAAGAAAAATGTCTTATACTGCAGCTTACCAATATTGTAGATGTGGTATATGCATTGGGTTTTTTTTTTTCAGCTTTTCCCCCTTATTTTTCCACCAACAGATCCTGACAGTGTATTTGTTATTTTTCAACTTCCTTTAACAGACCAAGCTGTTCAGCAAAAGTGGCAATTGGAGGGTTGGGACCAACCATTTCACACAAGAAAGGTGTGTTTACAATGGTCAGCTTTTATTCATTTATGTAAAACCATTATTCCAAAAGGAAGAAAAAAAAAAAAACAAAAAAAAAAAAAAACCTGTTGCTGTAACTACATAACATGTTAGCTGGAGTCCATCGAAATCTGCTACTGTATCTAGCCCTACACTCTTCCCAGGCTGACAATACTGCTGTCCAGAGTTGCTCCTCCATCTAAAGTGGAGACACCCCAAAAACAGAAGTGTGTTAATGGCAAGATCACTAGGTGAAAACAAAGGAAAAAAAAAAAAACTAATACAGATGCCAAATTTAAGGATTGGTAAGCAATACATTATATTTGTTTCTGGGTTAGCTACGCCGTAAAATATTAAAAAAAAAAAAAAAAAAAAAAAAAAGAAGGTTATTTGAAAGGAATAAGCACCTTGTAGTGGATTTGTAGCTGCTCATTGGTGGACTCGTTTTGCAACAGAGAGGCTCTGTTTATGTATGCTTCTGCTTGCACAGGATCATCATCTTCCAGGTAGAGCCGGGCAATTTTCAGATAGGTTTCCAATTTATAGTCCACATTATACTGTCTGTTGGGCAGCAAGAAAATATAAAACATATACACAGTCAATACCTAAAAGAAAACTAAGGAATAAATTTAGCTGGAAATAAACAAATTCAGCCATAATTTTTATAATGTATTAATTAAAGAGGATAAATGTGACCGTAGTGTTGTATGTTATCCATCTGTTGTCTGGGCAAACTAAACAAACTGATTGACCTCCAATGCCAACAACTTTGTTTCTCTATAGATTTTTTTCTTTTTAATTAACAACACCCTCTTCCCCAATTCTTACTTCTGTCCTGTTTCCAAAGGTATCCCAACCAGCACCTGAGCTGCATTCCTCCAGTCTTCTTCTTTTTCATAGATGGTTGCCAAGTGCTGCCTAATTGATGCAACCTGCAGGCAAGATATGATGAATTAAACACTGCAATTAAATTCTTCTATTACAACATACATTTAGATGCAGGGTGCCAAAGCATTTTGCCCTGGGCAGAGCATTTGAACATTTAGAGGAAAGCAGAACCCTCACTGGTGTAACAAAGAGGAAACAATCACAAGCCCTTGAAGTAATCAATAGAATTCCCATTCCAGTTTTAAATCATGAATGTAATGAAGCCTACTTGGACAAAATAAGTACTGAATAAAACAGTTATAGATGTGTTTTTCATTGTACCTCAATCTGTCTTTGCACCCGCCTCTTTTAATCTCTTGCATATTAGTATCCAGACTGGGAGAGAAAAGGCCAACACTGCACCAACCGGACGTAATGTGAACTTTGCACCAAAATACTCTATTTAGTATGTGCCGCCCCCCCATATTGTCCGCACATGGTGCCTAGGCAACAGCGACATCATCCTCCTTCCAAGAAGATTGCAGAGAATGCTGAATAGGCCAAATCTTACGAGAAGATGATCCTGTACTGTGCTGCAGCACCTTCTCAAGAGATTTCGAGTATAAAGCTTTCCCCTTGATCTCGCCAACTAGATGGCATCAGCCCCTACAGAAGCCAGGGGAAAGGTAAGTGTATAAAATCCTCCATCCTAGAGATGTTTTCTTGAAGAATGTTGCATTAATGTGTACTCATAGTACTGACCAAACTGTACTGCTTCCATTGAAATGGAAAAAGTAAAAATCTGAGACATTGTATAGAGAGTGCCCACTGCATCCAAAAAAGTAGGCTAAACAGAATTGCATGTATTTGAAAAAAATAGGGGAGTGTATAGCAATTGTTCTTCTACCTGTTCTTCAAAAGAGATGACACGTGGCTGGATCTTTTCCAGGGTGAAGTGATAAATCTCCTTGGCAATACCATCAGGTAGACTTGGAAGATGTGTGCAGAAGTCAGTGAGCAACTGTCGGGAAATCACTAGGCTGACATTCTCATTCACCACTGGAGATGAAAAAGTATGCACACAGGAAAATTAGAGAAAATAAAATGACATATTTAATGGGCTAAACATATTAAATATTTACCTAAACCTGCAATAAATACTGTATATTGATAGGAAATAGGCAGATATGTAAATAGACACTATAAATCTTACTTGCTTCAACAAATGCTTTAAGTGCCTCAAGCTGTTCTGGTCCAGGAAGCTGAAGGGCCTTCTCCAATATTTGGCGGTACCTACAAGAAAAAAGTTTAACCTTTATTACTATGATAAATATGAAAACATACTGCAGCTAAATGTAGATATTGCATACCTATCAATAAAATACATATTGCTAGATGCACTATACTGACATTACATCCAGAATTCAGAGAAGGTTAAAGAATGTGTTCATTGTGAGGGACTGGTTGGCAGGATGTGGATGGTGTATATGTCTCACCTAGGATTTTCACCTACAAAATGATGAGGGGCTCCAGGATTGATGGCCAATAGGGGATTCCAGAAGATCTAAAGCGGTATTAAACCCAAAACCAAATATGCCTTAGATATGGTGGCTGCATCAGTTTTCTTTTCTTAGCCTTTTCCCCTGTTTTCACCTGATGATCTGGCCAGTAACACCTCTTGTATAAGCGTGTATAAGGAAGGAAGGAAGGAAGGAGGAGGGAGGGGTGGGTGGGTGGAAGGAAGGGAGGGGTGGGTGGAAGGAAGGAATGGGTGGAAGGAAGGTAAGTCGGACTCATGCTCATTCAGAAGCAGATCTGTTGGCTGCTCTGTGTTCAATTTCCCGCCTACACTACCTCTGAAGCTGCACGGACTGGAGTGTGGGCGGGCATAGGGGGAGGTAAAGCAAATCCAGCCTCTCTCTCCTTCAATGAAGCAGCTGGCTGAAAGCCGGAGGAGGAGGGGGGGGGGGGGGGGGAGATGTGGCTTCCAGCTGCTCCATTGAAAGCCATACAGGAGATCACTGCTCGTTACCGCTGCATAGATCATGCCTGATCGATCCGTTTCTTTCCTGTCCCCCTCTGTGTGTTCAGTCTCCTATTGGTGTGGTGGATAGGGGGAGGGGCTGGGCACTGAGGAGTACACTGCAGGGGAGGAAGGGGGCGAACGGGGGCAGGAAAGAAACGGAACAATCAGGTATGATCTGTGCAGCGGTGACAAGCAGCGATCTCCTGTGTGGCTTTCAATGAAGCAGCTGGAAGCCAATTCTCCTCCTCTCCCTCCTGCAGCTTTCAGCTGCTTCATTGAAATCCATACAGGAGTTCGCTGCTTGTCACTGCCGTCCTCCCACACACCTCTAGTCCTGGTGCTGCCTGCCCCCACCTTATTTCCACTCGCCCAATGCGAGAGGGCGAGTGGAAATTTCGAGCGCTGCCCTATGATGACAATAAAAAAGATGAAAATTTTTTTTTTAAAGTGACAGTGTAACAAAAATAAAATTAAAAAATGTTTAAAATACAACTGTGATCACACGCAAAGGCCCACATCGGTACTGCATAAGCGCAAACAGTGACTGTCTCACACATGTGGGATATCACCCTGTACATCAGATCGAGGGCAATAATTCTAGCACTAGACCTCCTGTGTAAATCTAAAGTGGTAACATGTAAAGGCTTTTAAAGCGTCGCATATGGATAATAACGTTTACATTGTTTGTCACTGTTGCAGGGACGTGCGCATTTTTTAAGTGTGACGTGTTTGGTATCTATTTACTTGACATAACATTATCTTTTAAATTTTGATTGATTTTTACATGTAAACAAAAAGTGTCAGAAAAGATTTCAAGTGGGTAAAGTACAGCACAGCCATCCAAAGCAGTGCGATTACAGTGAAGCACACGGACAAAGCACAGTGTAAAACAGCACACAGTTAACATTTATTATTTGTAAGTGAACTTATCCTTTAACCTCCCTAGTGGTCTGATTATGTCCATATTTCTGTGCTCAAAGCGGTACATATTTTTGCATGGAAAAATGTAGTTTTTTTATTGTAGGCCTGTAATTTTTAGGAATAACTCACTGAAATCTGTCCGAACAAGAGTCTAGTAAACATCCCGGGTATGTTAAAATTTGAAACACAAAATCATAAATTATAATTTAATAAATAATCATAAAAATAATAATATAACAATAAATTTAATTAAATAAAATAATCAAACCAAAAACACTGAAATTTGAAATATAGCGCCAAGTTCGCACATCGCTGAGCAAAGTCGCAAAATCGTTTTCAGTGTCTGATGACGAATTTCCCCACGAATCATCACTCAATTCTGCAAGTGGTTCTAATTTACTATCGCTGTTCTCTAGCTGGTCTAAAACCGCTTTTGACCTAAAGGGACGCTTTTTGGACGCCATGGACGTTTCTCAGTTTCCAAGCAGAAAGAACAGTAAAAATGCAGGCAGGGCACAGGACAAAGCACTCGGGACAAAATGTATGTGAAATGCTTTGATACAGTAATGTTTTTACTATGTGATTTTAGTGTATTTAGTAAATGTCACTTTTTCACATTTTTAAATTGCCCGCCGTTCCTTCCCCCGTACGTCCCGACGCTCGCAGAGGATGGAACCCAGATGACAGATGCTGGCATTGGCTGGAGGACATGGCCGGGGACACTGCAGGAGGGACATCGCGGGAGCTAAGGACAAGGCGAGTAAAGAAGAGATCCCAAAGCAGCACTGCAAGGTATTCCCGAGTGTAGCTCGGGGTTACCGCTTGTGGTGCTGAAACTTTACCCCGAGCTACACTCGGGAGGTTAAGCTGTGGAAACAAAACCTAGAAGCTGATTGGTTTCTGTGCAGAGCTGCACCAGGTTTAGCATTCTCTGGTTTTAGTAAACCAACCCCCAAGTGTCCATGTACCTACAGACTTTTAGAGGAGTTTAGGAGCAGAGTTTAGAGGCGCTCAAAGCTCCTGTCCTGAATGCAGAAGAATCGCATTCAGGAGAAGACCTTTCAGACATAAAAAACATCAAACATGTTATGTTCAGTGCTTGAGCATTTATTTGTTTCAATGTCCAGAAAAGAATAAATTAAAATCCTAGCTACTGTAATAAGGGCATGATTAAAGTGTTACTAAACCCACAACAGTAAAATCAGTCTGTATATGCTGTAAAGCATGCTTGTTATACTCACTGTGGAACCTAAGGGGTTAATCCTCCACAATGTGTAAAAACGTAACTGACTTCTCTGATCCTCCCCTTCTTAGTGTCCCCCTTTTATCTTCTGGTAAGACATATCCTGTGGAGTCACTCTACACATGCTCAATTTGCTGTGTATTGCTAGAGTTTTTTCTTGGGAGAGTGCATGTGATCAGCACAAGGCCAATCAGCACTGTTCGGACAGAAGTCAGGGGTTCTGCATCCTCCTAGAGCAAAATGAAAACTCCTACAAGATTTAACTAGTGCTCTGCTGAACACCGATAGAAGTCACAAGACTGCTCTAACTGCTGCTGATAAAAAGTATTTAGCAGTTTATACTTACTAAAATAATTGCACTTCCATGTTGTGTGTACTGTGGGAGAACAGATGTAGTGAATGCAGGATCCTGGGTTTTGTAACAATTTAAAGAACATGGCTTATGTGTTGTGTTTTCCAGTCAGGAGGAACAGTGTTCACAATAAACCAGTGTGCATAAACCGTTTTAAGCAGTTACAGTATTCCATTTCTTCCTTTAGGGATAAAGGTTTTCCATAAATAAAAGCTGATCATTATAAGCACCCCTGCCAGTGTTAAATGCCTTGTCTCATCTCTGTAACTGATCCATTCTGCTGGAGAGCTTGTACTTTTTCTAAAAAAAGATCAGGCTTACTGGCAGGATACCAGGTGAAAACAGAAGACAAAAAGCCAAAAAAAACTAATGCAGACCACCAGATTTAAGACATAGTAAACTGCAATATATTAAATGTTTGCATTTCAGTTTAATACTGCATGAATATATTCCCCCCACTACGTTTATTATGGGGAGGCTGTACTCATACTTCGGGGCATTAAACTACAGAAGGGTGATTGGGCCCTAAGGCTGCATTCACACACGGGCATTTTTAATTGCGGGCAGGATTTTAAAACACTTTGCTACAATGACAAATCACAGAACGGCGTGCTCAGATGCCATTCATTTTAATGGCACATGAAAACACAGCGCGGTTCTGCCCAAGATTGTCCCGCATTGCACAAAGAGCGTCGCCCATAGGAGGAGTTCAAGAATGTCTTTGGCTGTTGCAGTTTGCCTCGTTTGCAGCAGGACAATTGCGGCAGAACCGCACTTTCAGGTGCTATTAAAACGAATGGCACCTGAACACACGGATCTGCAATTAGTCATTTTAGCAACGAGTTTGGAAATCTCTGGCAAAATTGCGGCGATTCTCCCCAAGATTTAAAACGCCCGTGTGGGAATGAAGCCTACCAACATACGTCCCTCACTTTGGGAGATTTCTTCTATCTTCTGGTTGTGTCTTTGGAACAGGAAGTGAAACATCAAAACACAAAAGAATAACAATAATAAGGGTTTGTCCATAGCTGCTACCATCACTCACAGGCTGGATCTGATGGCCTGGGACCACCATGTGTAGCTGAGCCACTGTAGGTGATCCAGCGTATGAAAGCCTAGAAACAGATCTACTATAACATAACAGATCCACCATGACTGCTCTAAAGTCACAGTGTTCGGCGGCTTTCGATGCATTCACCCACATCCACAGTGCACTCATCATCGAGAGAGCCCCCCCGATCCTCCACACTGCCCCATGCACACAACGCCACCACTCACTTCCCAGCCAGATCCTTGTGAGAGCCACTCGAGCTCATCAGCTGGGTGAGATCTTGCCTGACACACGCCGCCATATTTTCGCGAAGCCGCCCCTCTTCCTCCGCAGTTAGGACGTCATAGGAAGGAGACTCGGCGCCGTCAGCTCTACGTGAACAGCAGTCCAGGCAAGGCGGGAGACTCCATCTGCGCATGCTTGGGCTTCCACGTGCAACCAGCGCCCTCTGCTGAACATCGTGGTTAGTGGCAGGCAATGTGTTCTTTTTACTTCAGTAGAGCTGAGTGAGAACTGACTTTAGCCAGCACTGTGCGACAGGTATCAGAGAATTCATAAACAGTGTCCAGGGGCGGACTGACAACTCATGGGGCCCCTGGGTAATAGGGGATCATGGGGCCCCTGTGTCCTTGCCCAAGCTCAAAAAAGCCTATGAAAAAGGTATCGGGCATTTCATGGGGCCCCCTACTGACCCCGGGCCTTCGGGCAGTGCCCGAGTTTCCAAATGGTCAGTCCGCCCGTCAGTGTCTGTAAGGGCTTGTACACAGGGAAAACTCCTCTGAATGCTGGAAAATGTAGGTTAAAAAACATCAGTTTAGCCGCATTTGCATACCGTGTTTATGTGCGTTTGCATTTAGAAGCGTTTTTAAAAGATTACCTCAGGAGACCTTCCCAAATGCCCAGAATACACTGAAAACTTGTAAACAATATTTCAGACATTTTGAGATAAATAGAGCAGAAGCAGAGAGAGCAGTATGTGTTGAGATCAGTGGCGTCCCGAGGCAGGTGCGGGGGTGCGGTCCGCATGGGGTGACACCGACCGCACGGGGTGACACCGGCCGCATGTGGTGACACTGGACCCGCTCAACAAAAAGGTAAGTTGATCCATCCTGTGGGGATCGTCGGCTTGCTTTACAACTTACCTTTTCTTGGAGCGGGTCCGGTGTCACCCCGTAACGTGCCGACGATCCTGTGGGGATCATCAGCATGCAACCTATACGGGGTGACACTGGACCCGCTCCAAGAGAAGGTAAGTTGTAAAGCAAGCCGACGATCCCCGCAAGCTGGATCGGATCTGCAGATTGAGCATAATGGATCGGAGTCCAATCCATTATGCTCAATCCGCAGATCCAATCCATTCTGCGGGGATCGTCGGAGGGGGTGTCAATAGGTGTTACCGCTCCGGGTGACACCAACCCTAGGGATGCCTCTGGTTGAGATTACCTATCTTTTCTGGTTGTATTCACTGGATCCCATCATGAGCATAATTCCTTCACACAAAACCTGGAACTGACTGCGCTGGTGTACTTGATCCATTTGAATACATGGAAAATGCTTTGCATGCATTTCTGATGATGAAAAAAGGCTCTGGACCGCATCTGGACATGGAACAGTTAAAAAACACTTCTAAATGCAAATGCTTATAACCGCATTTACAAGCGTTTGGCATTTCAAATGCCGGTAAAATTACTCCTGAACGCAAGTTTGTTGCGTTCAAAAAAACGACTGTAAACTCAACTGCCTGTAAATGACTGTAAACGACGATGTGTACATGGACACATAGGAAAACATTAGGGAGAGTTCAGGGGTTGCTGAAAAAAACACAGAACAGCTCCTGAACGTCAGTTTATCCTCTGCAGTGTACATGAGCACTAACATTCTTCAGAATTCCAGGATAAATTCTACAGTAATGAGGGCGACAGGTTCAGGTACCTATTGTAAACAGCTCCCTGATTTTGGGGCACACATCGCATACAGAGGCTTAGACCAAAGTGTCCATGTGGGCACTGCGTCTTCAGGGCTGGTTTTCAGTGCACTTGTGGGCACCAAATCACATGGTATTGCAGTACATTGTGATTTGGTGCAGCACCTATTTTAAAAGTAGTGCATACACTACTTTCTCTGGTTCAGCGTGATTTGAGCCCACTCAAAGGAAACGGCTGCAAAATAACATCGCGCAAGAATCGCACAGGAACAGTGCTGCATAGAGTTGCCACCTCTTCTCTTTAAAATCAAAGACATTAATTACACAGGTTCTGTGGCTGATTAAGGCGGTGATTAGACCTAGTGCCTTATCTGAATTAAATTAGCCTCAGGACCTGTGTAATTAATGTGTTTTATTTATTAACCTGTGTAATTAATGAGGTGGCAACCCTAGGGCTGCATTCCGATGTGAACCAGCCCTCAGTGCAGTTGCTCATGCATGCATGTGCTCTCTCCAATGCAACTGTCACAATGAACCTTATGGGGATTCACTGACAATAGTGCCACATCAGGTCCACTCTGCCCTTCACCAAACCTAGTTTCCCATTAAATGCACTCTCCCCTTCACCGAACCTAGTTCCCCATCAGGTCTGCTCTTTCCTTCACTGAACCTAGTTCCCCATCAAGTTCACTCTCCACTTCACCAAACTTAGTTCCTCACCAGATCCACTCTCCCCTTCACCAAACCTATCTCCCCATCAGATCTGCTCTCCCTTCTCCAAACCTAGTTCCCCATCAGGTCTGCTCTCCCCTTCACCGGGCCAGTTCCCCGTGAGGCCTGCTCTCCACTGAACCTAGTTCCCCATCAGGTTCACTCTCCCCTTCACCGAACATAGTTCCCCATCAGATCACTCTCCCCTTCACCGAACCTAATTCCCCATCAGATCCACTCTCCCCTTCACCAAACCTAGTTCCCCATAAGGTCTGCTCTCCCCTTCACCGGGCCTAGTTCCCCGTGAGGCCTGCTCTCCCCTTCACTGAACCTAGTTCCCCATCAGGTTCACTCTCCCCTTCACCGAACATAGTTTCCCCATCAGATCACTCTCCCCTTCACCGAACCTACTTCCCCATCAGGTCCATTCTCCCCTTCACTGAACTTAGTTCCCCATTGGATTCACTCTTCCCTTCAGCAAAACTAGTTCCCCATCAGGTCTGCTCTCCCCTTCATCGAACCTAGTTCCCTGTGAGGCCTGCTCTCCCCTTCCCCGAACTTAGATCCTCATCACTTCCTCTCTCCCTGTCACTGAATCTAGTTCCCCATCAAGTCCATTCTCCCCTTCACTGAACTTAGTTCCCCATTGGATCCACTCTTCCCTTCACTGAGCCTAGTTTCCCATCAGTTTGACTGTTCCCTTAACTAAACCTAGTTTCCCATCAGGACTGCTCTACCCTTCACTGAACTTAGTTCCCCATCATGTCCGCTCTTCCCTTCAGCAAAACTAGTTCCCCATCAGGTCTGCTCGCCCCTTCACCAAATTTAGTTTTCTATAAGCTCCACTCTCCTGTTCACTGAACCTAGTTCCCCATCAAGTTCACTCTCCCCTTCACTGAACCTAGTTCCCCATCAGATCCACTCTCCCCTTCACCGAACCTAGTTCCCCATCAGGTCTGCTCTCCCCTTCATCGAACCTAGTTCCCTGTGAGGCCTGCTCTCCCCTTCCCCGAACTTAGATCCTCATCACTTCCTCTCTCCCTGTCACTGAATCTAGTTCCCCATCAAGTCCATTCTCCCCTTCACTGAATTTAGTTCCCCATTGGATCCACTCTTCCCTTCACTGAGCCTAGTTTCCCATCAGTTTGACTGTTCCCTTCACTAAACCTAGTTTCCCATCAGGACTGCTCTACCCTTCACTGAACTTAGTTCCCCATCATGTCCGCTCTTCCCTTCAGCAAAACTAGTTCCCCATCAGGTCTGCTCACCCCTTCACCAAATTTAGTTTCCTATAAGCTCCACTCTCCCGTTCACTGAACCTAGTTCCCCATCAGGTTCATTCTTCGCTTCACTGAACCTAGTTCCCCATCAGGTTTGCTCTCCCCTTCACCGAACCTAACTCCCCATCAGGTCCACTCTACCCTTCACTGAACATAGTTCTTCATCAGGTCCACTCTCCCCTTTACTGAACCTATTTCCCCATCAGGTCCACTCTCCGCTTCACTGAACCTAGTTCCCCAGGTCCGCTCTACCCTTCACTGAACCTAGTTCCCTATCAGGTATGCTCTCCCCTTCACCAAATGTAGTTCCACATCAGGTACGCTCTCACCTTCGCTGAACCTAGTTCCCCATAAGGTTTGCTCTCCCCTTCACAGAACTTAGATCCCCATCAGTTCCACTCTCCCTGTCACCGAATCTAGTTCCCCATCGGGTCCGCTCTCCCCTACACCAAACCTAGTTCCCCATCAGGTCCACTTTCCCCTTCACTGAACCTAGTACCCCATCAGTTCTGCTCTCCCTTTCACCAAATCTAGTTTCCTATAACCTCCACTCTCCATTAAACCTAGTTCCCTATCAGGTTCCCTCTCCCCTTCACTGAACCTAATTCCCCATCAGGTCATCCCTTCAATAAACCTAGTTCCCCATCAGGTCCACTCTCCCCTTCATTGAGCTTAATGGGGATATACTGACAATAGAGCCCCATCAGGACCACTCTGCCCTTCACCACAATTAGTTTCCCATCAGGTTCCCTCTTCCCTTAACCGAACCTACTCAAACTCTCCAACGACCTGCTAACCGCCAAAGCTAATGGCCACTATTCAGTGCTCCTACTCCCTGACCTCTCTGCGGCCTTCGACACAGTCGACCACCCCCTTCTCCTCAAAAAACTACACTCCCTCGGCCTCAGAGATTCTGCTCTCTCCTGGCTCTCATCCTACCTGTCACAACGCTCCTTCAGCGTTACCTATAATGCTACCACCTCCCCCTCACTCCCCCTCTCTGTTGGGGTCCCTCAAGGCTCTGTCCTCGGGCCCCTTCTCTTCTCCATCTATACCTCCTCCCTTGGCCAACTCATACACTCTCACGGCTTCAACTACCACCTCTATGCCGACGACACACAAATCTATCTCTCAACCCCCCACCTCACCCCCTTGGTCTCAGCCCGAATCACACACCTACTGAGCGACATATCAGACTGGATGTCGCTCCACTTCCTTAAATTGAACCTCTCCAAAACCGAGTTTCTTGTCTTCCCCCCAGCCTGGACACCACCCCCCATTGATTTCTCCATCACATCCAACAACGCTACCATCAAACCCGCCCTGCAGGCCAGAGTACTGGGTGTCATTCTGGACTCCAACCTATCCTTCCAGCCCCAAGTCCAATCTTTAACAAACTCGTGCAGACTCCACCTCCGCAACATCGCCAAAATCCGCACGTTCCTAACCCCAGAAACCACTAAACAGCTCATCCACTCCCTCATCATATCACGACTCGACTACTGCAACTCCCTCCTCACTGGCCTGCCTCGCCGCTGGCTATCCCCTCTTCAGTCCATCCTGAACACGGCTGCCAGACTCATTCACCTTTCCAACCGCACTGTCTCCGCCACCCCCCTCTGCCAATCCCTCCACTGGCTTCCGATTGCGCAACGGATCAAATTCAAAATCCTAACGCTGACGTACAAAGCTGTCCACCATACTGCCCCGAACTACATCACTGACCTAATATCCAAGTACCGCCCAGCACGCACACTCCGCTCCTCACAAGACCTCCTTCTCTCTAGTTCCCTGGTCTCCTCCTCCCATGCCCGCCTCCAGGACTTCTCCAGGGT